TATTGTTCCTTTCCAAGAATAGAACCGCCCTGGTAAACCGTGTGCCTAAACTGGGAACCAAACAATCAAGGGTCCCAGTACATGAGAACAGAAACCACCACAGAGGCAAACACAGTAACCCAGAGATGACTCCTGCATCCTTTATCCAGGGGAGGAAACACAGATGGAGTCTGTCTTCCTCTGTCAAAAGAATCATCTGAAGGTTGCCCCGTGCTCCAACAGGGTGACACAAGAAATGGGTCTCAGAGAAGCCTGCTGCCACTCAGCACACGCAGTGTGGTTCTCAGCAGACCACGGGCAGCAAAGTTAGACAGACTTGGCACAAATCCCAGCCAGCTTCCCCACAGACAACTGCCTGTCTCTGAGCAGGTTATGTAACCTCTCTCTGCCTTAGTTTCTCATCTGTAAAATGGTTACATGACCACGCAGCTCACAGGCTTTCCTAAGGGCTTTAAATGGGATGACACACAGAGAGCCTGACACACAAATGATGCTCTGTACATGTCAACTTCCTGCCTATTCTCACCTCTCAGCTCAGTGTACATTATCTCTGACTCCAGGTCCCTTCAGAGATGCAAGATGAGCCAGGGCCACTTGTCAACATCTCTCCAGCAGATCAACATGAAGAGCCAAAGTCGTATCATACCCCTGAGAGCCTTGTTCTCAACGTTTTCCCTCTTCAGTGAACACTAACTGCCATGCTTTCTCACTGCTGCACAGAAATACAGATGAGATTTTAAAATGGCTTTAGGTGCTTGTGTGATGTTTAACATGGCCTAAAGTGTCATGGAAACACTCTTGGGCGGGGGTGGGGGGGTGGGGGGGTAGAAATCAGAAACAAGTAAAATACTGAGTTTTTTCAGCAAATGCTCAGGAAAGGGAGAGAATGAAAATCAAAAGCTTTTTACATGAGTCAGCAAGCCAGCTGGGTTGAGACCATCAGACTATGGAAACATGAGCTTTCTGGAAGGCAAAGGGGTTTCCAGAAGTAACCCAAACTTCCTCAACTGGTCAAGTTTGACACCTCCTCCCAATTCCTTATCCCCAACACAATGACTTTGCATCTTCATTTTTTTTTTTTTTAAAGACAGCAAAGGATGTCATCTGCATAAAGTCTCCTGCCCAGCATGACTCAACAGTGGGTCACATACCAACCCTGTTGTTGTTATTATTTGGGAATTACACCACACATTTTATATGCCAGGTGCCCTCCAATCATTTTTATTAGTCTACACAACACCAACCTAACATCCTTAAGGATTTGATTTCTGTTTTAAAGGAGACACAAAGAGGTCAACTGATTTGCCTAAGGTCCTAAAGCAAGTTTCTTAAGATCCTGGGTAAAGGGAAGGAGTTGTGCGAGATCTGGGAAAGGCTGCTGCACAGCTGAGACCCTGATTCCTCTCTGGTTCAAGAAGAGAGGCAAGCTGTGTACTATGCATATAATTTTATTTTCAATTCTGGTCTCTTGCCTGCATGGTGTGACCACGTGTAAAGAGGTAAGATACTCTTCCTTCTGCTACTCCTCGAAAGGAAACTTCCAATGATTTTCCCCATATCTGCTTAAGGAATGACCAAGGGGGAAGCTGGACCCACTGCCTCCCTAACACCTTCTCCATTATAACTCCAAATCCCAAACTGTAGATAAGAGAAACCAAGATGGAAAACTGAACTTGATCATGGCACAACTCTGCCCCAGAACTCTCAAGTGCCTGTTCCTACATGATTCTTTTCTTCTAGACCTGAGCAATTATGACCAAGACGAAGGGTGACTGTGGAATTTGTAACCAGAGACTCTACAGATGAACTGCCCCCCAGAAGACACCCACTTACGTATGTCCAGTGGGAGTCTCACGAGTGTGTATGTACACACAAAGACTAGAGCTCACTGGGTAACGAAGGCTGTGTATTTTATAAGCACCTCATTTTACAATGCCTCTGGAGTAAGTGTTCAAGTGCAGCCACAGGAGCAGGTAAGGTAGGCACGAAGAGGAAGAGGGGACTTTTTTTGAACTGGCATGCCTTTCCTCAACTTCAGGGTATCTGAGAGTTTTGGTTTCTTGGCAAGCTGCTTATGGCAGGCACAGCCATGCAGGTGTGCTATGGGTTTCAGGCCAAGGAGTGTGTGCCTTCTTCACCGAGAAGCCACTCCAGAGAGGAAAAAAACCAGCAGCAACTTGGTGCACTGGATCTAAGTAATGGTAAAACCCCTTCCACTGCCTGCATTCTGCTCTGTGCCAGTACACGTTTTATGGGAAGGAGAAAAGACTTGGGGGGTTGGGGGTTGCAGGGAAGGGAGGATTCTTTGCAGATGGGGGAGGGGAAAAAAAGCTACAGAGCCAACTTTTCCATCCTGCTCTGAGCCCACACTACAGACATACATTTTTCCACATTGGAGAATAATAATCCCTTTATCCAGCCAGTCTGAAACCATCAGTTCCTGATAATTGAATTCAGACCTTGGGTGGAAAGTTGGTAAGGTGTGGGTAGTTGGAAAATGGGGTGGGAAATGGGAGGAGGCAGGGGTGGAGCCCATAAAAAGGAGGGTGGCAGTAGGCAGAATGGCTTAATGAAGCTAAGGAAGTTAGAGGCCTCAGACACCAAAGGCAGACATTCTGCCCTAAAATTGCCAGGTCACACGACCAGACAGCTCCCCTAGTGGAGCCTTGGAAGAAGGTGGTCTTGGTAGCATACTAGGTACTAGGTCAGGTTCTGGAGCCTGGGCCCTAGGACCTTGGGCAAGTGCATGACCTCTAAAATCCTAGCTCTGACAGTTATTCCATTCATGCACATACTTATTGAGCACTATTTGTTTGCGTCTAGGGGTAGGGTGGCAAATCTCTTCTAGAAAGGGTCCAATATCTTAAAGTCTAGGCTTTGGGGTGAAACAGTCTATGTCACAACCATCCAACACTGCCACTGCAGCACAAACACAGCCATATTTATATTCATAAATATAAAGAATAAACATTGCTATGTTCCAATAAAACTTTATAGGCACTGAAATGTGAGCTCACAATTTTTATGTATCATGAAATATTATTCTTTTGATTTTTTTCCCCAATCATTTAAAAATATAAAAACCATTCTTGGCTCACAGGCCATACAAAAGCAGCAGGAAGGATTCAGTCCATGGACTGTCACTTGCCAACATCTGCTCTGGAGATACAGTGGTGAATAAGGCAGGATCTCTATATTCTATGGCTCTGTGACTACAGCTTCTAGAGGCCTCCTCTGGCTTTGGCTTATATGCCCTGCAAACGTAAGCCCTGCTTCATCTGGTTGCACAACTGGTGTAGTCTGGCCTTCTTTTCCTTTGAAATCTCATATATAGTCATGATGCCTACGTTGTGGGGTCTCAATCATTAGTAGTGGCCTCCTTAGTTGTGCCAGGGGCTCCTCACAGCCAAAGAGGTGTTATGCTTTGTGGGAAAGGTTTAAGTGTCAGAACAGAGTAAAGAAGAGGCAGAAGAGGAAATCTGTACGTGCGTGGTGGAAAAGACTATAATGCAACAACAAATGGGTAACTGTTTTTCTCAACAATTCAGAAAAAAAAGCTTAGATGAGACTGCACTATTACCTTCATGTGTCACGTAAGCGGGTGGCAGGGGTTGATAGAAAAAGAATGAGAGGGGGCGCCTGGGTGGCTCAGTCGATTAAGCACCTGACTCTTGATTTCTGTTCAGGTCATGATCTCATGGCGCATGGGCTCTGCACGGACAGCACAGAACCTGCTTGGGATTCTATCTGCCCCTGCCCTGCTCACGTTCTCTCTTTCAAAATAAATAAATAAACTTAGAAAAAATAATCAAGTGTTCAAAAGAAAGAATGAGAAAGAGCACTGTATGGGGACTCTATGTGCCACACTATACCACACTGCTCTCATCCTTCAAGTCCCCTTCCAGAATCTACCTGAGATCCCTCTCCAGGGAATGCTGTCCAAAGAAAACTGCCGTATTAATGTATCTAATGAAGACTGGTAGGGGCCCCACTACTGTTGAGTTCATTCATAATTAGTTGAGACCCCTACTGGTACTTGCAGATACAGAGGCAGGTTCTCTAGCGTCACCCAGAGGCCTATGGTACACATCAAAATATGTGCTTTCTAAAAAGGACGCCAGGTCGAGAGGACCACATGAAGAGAACCTAAGAAGGGTCTTCAGAGCACAGCAGAAGCCAACAAGGATCAAGCTCATGGCTACATTTCTAGCCACTGCTACAGCTCTTGCAGCCCATCAGCTTCAACCAGAAAAGTCCATAGAATTATGAAAGTATAAACTGAGAGAAGTGGATAGGACCTTAAAGGTATCCGGGTCAACCCCCCTCATTTGATAAATGGAGAAACTAAGCCACAGATGCCTAAGTGGCTTGTCCAGGATCACGAGGTTTATAGTGTCAGTGACCAGGTCCTGCTTTCATTAAGTTACAACACCTCAACTTTGTACTTATTCTGAGAAAAAAACATAAAAAGACAAGAAACACACAATAAGCTAACAATCATTAAGTGCTTGCTGTGTTATCTCAGACAATCTTCACCCCCCTCCCCCCCCCCACCCCAGGGTAGGTACTACTTTTATCCGATTCTGTAGCTGAGAGGTAAGGAGATCTGCTCAGGTCGCAGAGCCAGCAATGGGACTGGACTCAGAACACAGGCAGTCTGATTCCAAAACCTGCACCCTGCTGAATATCGTGTTCTGAATCCCTCCATTCTGCCTGGTGACTCCAGCTGCGGGGGGGGGGGGGGGGGTGTAGGGGAGACAATGTCAGCCCAGCAGTTTCCTACACACCCATCTCCCAGGTGACTCCAGAGGCCCCTTAATGCCACACCCCCAGGCCTGCTCCCCGCCCGGCCCCCAGCTATACCACGGCACAAAAGCCCACCTCCACCCTCTTCTCTCCCTGCAACTTCCCGCTAGATGGACAGTGCCCTATCCCAGCCTTTGGGAGAAACAATGGTACTGAGTCTTTTCCCTCCCACACAGAGGCAGTCGGGGACCCACCTGAGGCAAGTCCGTCTCCAAGGAGGGTGCTAAGGATCACCAGTGGAAGGAACACTCCATGTCCCGCGGAGGCCACGGCCAACGCTGAGGTGCTCTTTGGTGTTATCCTGCCATGGCACATCTTTTATCCGTCCAAGTTATTTTAAAAAGAAAAAATTTAAAAGCCAGAAGAATTCTAAAGTCAGCCACGGGTAGATTTACCTATAAAAAAAAAACAAACAGAAAACAAGGACATAAGTGAAAACTTTGGCCCTAAGTTAGCTGCAAATAGGCACTGGAGCAAGGAAGCCATAATCACATACAAAATGCTAGTAACTGAATTCCTGCTACCAGAAGGGACAGGCACATAAGTGGCTTTTCAACTCCTATGTGGGGAAATGCCGAGGCCTGCAGCAAGCTGCCATCAGTGTCAGCATCTAGGAGCCAGATCCTCGCTCTTAGGACGAGGAGACCAACACAAGCTCACCTGGAAATGTGTCAGGCATGGCAGAACTTTCAGCAACTGCCCAGGCTCTGCCCCCACTGCCTCCAACAGAGAAGAGGAGAGAGAGGCAGCTGTTGACACAGATGCTACACCCCTGAGTCAGGCTTTGCCTTTGCCATTTGGACTCAGAGCGAGTTCAACCGACCGAAAGGAAAAAAAAAAAATAGAGAACACGTGTCTTAAAGGGAGAAATACACCGCCTAGAGAAGGAATGCAGCTGCAGGAGCCAAGGGCCCACGGCTAGGCTTGCTCAGCTGCCAGAGGCCGGATGAGCCCCTGAGGATCTGACGCTGACTCCACAGCCATGAATCTCAAAAATGGACCAATTACTCCAGGCTCACCTGACACACCTGTGACCCCAAGAGGCCACACTTGCTGGGTGTCCCTGACAAGGACTGGGAGAGGATGGGCTGTGACTGTTAATTAGCACCCCCACCCACTCTAGTTCAGACGATGACTTCAGAAGAGTAGGAACCAGCGTCTTTAAAAAATATATGTATCAGGGGTTAAGACTTTAAGGGATTACTTTCTACAAGCCTTCAGAGAAGCAGCTGAGTTGATGATGATACATTATGATATGGGCCCTATTACATTTTAGTTCAGTCATTTGATTTTATTTACCCTAGTTTATAACAAGTATTCCAAATAATAAGATTATACTCCCTTTTTAAATTCCATACACACCTCCTTCTCCATTAATAAGGCTTTATGTAAATAGAGAAGGGAGCCTGCCATCTACAACCCTAATAAAGGATGCCTCTGAGACTCTGCCAGGGATATTAAACAGACCTGCCTTTAATCCATGTCTGAAGCCTTGACTCAGGCCTACATCCCCTTCTAAAGAGAGTTACTGCAAACAGCAACAGGAGCTACCTCAGCATGAAGGAAAAGCAGCTAGCAGGGCCTTCAATGAGCATGAGCTAGCCGCTGGGTCCTTACTCACTACCCCTAAATAGCTGTGACTATAGCAGTCTTCTGTCCACAGCTTTTACCCAGACTCCAACTTGAGCCTTTAAAGCTGTAGAAAAGGGATGGTTCTTGAAGAGGTCTAGGGGTGGAGTCTGTAAGTGACCCAAAATAGTACACAAAACCGTGTGTGTGTAAATGTGTGGAATGTGTATATATTTATGTGGCTAAGGACAGCAGACTTAGAATGCCAGAATTCCGATCTGTGTCCTCTATTATGACCATGTGGCCAAATCACTCTCTTAGCCTCAGTTTCCTCATCTGTAAAATGGGAGCAGTAACCATACGTCTTCATTGGTTTGATGTAAGGATTAGGATCAGACAAAGCACTTGGCAGTTCCTGGCACTTTGCCAGTACTCAGTAAATACTGCCTGCTGTTGCTGTTGTAATTAGTAATAAGGCTGAGCTGCAGAGACCTTAGAGGTCATCAGGCTTTACCTCCTCATTCAGCAGATGCCAAAACCCAAGGTCAGAAGAGGTTCAACAATATGTCCAGTTAGCAATGGGTGCTGTCATTTTTGATTCATCCACAGCAGGTATTTGTACCAGGCAGTCATCACCCCCTGAAGGCAACATTGAGAATAACACCTGGTTGGGCCACATTACAGCACGTGCACAACAAATATTTCTATAGTGAATGGATGGGGCTGGATCAGAGTGGTGCTTAGGTGTTCTGTGCACAAGTGAAGATAACCAAGAGAGACTCCCCAGAGGAGGTGATGCTGACTGCTAGTGCATATGTTTAGTGAAAAAGAAGGTACCAAATACAAGTGAACAGAACAATGGGAGCACGGCACGCTTGGCAGAGGCTAGAGTTAAGGGCTAGGCCAAGGAGGTTAAACTTTACCCTGAAAACCACGTACAGCTTAGAGGATCATAAACAGAGGAGTTATAAGACCAAATTCATTTAGGACGAGCACTGTGGCAAGGATTTTAGAGGAGGGGAAGTGGGGGGCATCAAGTGGTAAAGGATCTTGAATTTAGCATCATTAATGTGGAGCTCTTTCGAGGGCAATTTGACAATATCTGTCACATATTCTCTAACCTATCAGTTCTACTTCTAGAATCTGTCCTCAAAAATCGCATGAGCAATGATATAGATGCAAGATAGTCACTGAATTCTTTGTACTGGCAAAAGACTGAAGTGAGGCAAGTTAAACAAGTGGTCATACACACACCTAACAAAATACCATGTACTGGTCTAAAAAGAGTTAGGCAGGAGGTGCCTGAGTGGCTCAGTCGGTTAAGCATCCAACTCTTGATCTCAGCTCAGGTCTTGATCTCAGTGTCCTGGGTTCAAGCCCCGTGATGGGCTCCACGCTGGGTGTGGAGCCTACTAAAAAAATTAAAAAGAACTAGGCAGGTCTAGTCTGTCCTCATATATGAAATGACTTGCACAATCAGTACACGAAGAAAGCCACTTGCGAGGCTGCATGTATTTTTATTTTTTTTTTATTTTATTTTTTTTTAATTTTTTTTTCAACGTTTATTTATTTTTGGGACAGAGAGAGACAGAGCATGAACGGGGGAGGGGCAGAGAGAGAGGGAGACACAGAATCGGAAACAGGCTCCAGGCTCTGAGCCATCAGCCCAGAGCCTGACGCGGGGCTCGAACTCATGGACCGCGAGATCGTGACCTGGCCGAAGTCGGACGTTTAACCGACTGTGCCACCCAGGTGCCCCTGCATGTATTTTTAAAGAGGATACACACACACACACACACTCTTGCATGCCATGAAAACCTCTGCCTGGAATGATGCACAAGAAATCGGTAGCTAATAATTGCCTTCAGGGTGGAGAAGTGAGCAATTAATAGGGAAATAACTCGTTTTCCGTCATATGTATTCCTTTTTAATGTCCTTGAGTATACTGTACCTTGTGCATGCATTACCTATTCAAACAGATAAAATGTAAAATAAAATTAATGTAGCCACGTGTTCCAGTAGACCACCTGTCTCCTCCCTCAACATACGGACTGATGTTCAAATAAACCTGATTGCTCCTCCTGCCAGGAATATAGTCACTCTTAGGGCTCAGCACAAGAGTCGCCTGGAGGAATTCTTTTCTGACACTTCACACCACACCCACCTCCAGTAGGACTAACCCCCTCTTATTCCCAAAGTGTCTTGAGCACCCTGCTAGGACTGTACCTCTAACAGGTTAATGCGTCTACATGTTTATCTGTCTCACCTCACCAGACTCAAAGCTCCTTGAAGGCAGTGAACAAATGCCTGCCAAACTCACGAATACTGTGGGGAGGAGCCAATACAGAATTAGGAAAAAGATACACAAATAGGAGCTCCTGTTTTGTCTTATTTGAGAGAAACAATGGACTCCTCCCCCTGACTTAAGCAGCTCCCTGGGCCAAAGGACCAATTCCACCACGAAGCCTAACACCTGATCAAGTGCATGACAGATGGGGTAGTGACATGGGGGCTTTGCAAAGAAGAGAAAAGATGAATAGAGAATAGAGGGTAGTCAGAGGGAGTGTTTACTTGCGAGGCTAGGCCAAGAGTTAGTGCTTCAGAAACAATACAGAGAAAAGCGAAGCCCTGTGACCCCAGGGTATTGCTCAGAATGGGAGAACCTGGCTACTGTGGAGAAAAGGTCACACTATACATATCTAATCATTTTAAGAAGGCATCTGCTTTAAACACAGAATTAAAAAATAAAATAAAACCTGGACTTGAACTGTGGCTTTAGAGCAAGTGAAAAGAAAAACATTTCAGAAATAATTAACTAGATATTCATTATCCCTAGAGAAATACATGGAGGAGTAGGAGGAGGGGAAGGGGAAAGAGGAGGAAGAAGAGGAGGAAGAAGAGGAAGGAGGAGGAGGAAGAGGAAGTAGATCCTGGTTGTCTGGGCTGGGGGAGGAAGGAATGCGGAGTTATTGTTTAACAAGTACAAAGTTCCGTTTTTGCCAGATGCCAAGAGTTCTGGAGACGGACGGACGGCGGTGATGGTTGCACAACAGTGGGAATGCGCTTAATGTCACTGACCTGCATACTTACAACTGGTTTAAGATGATTGATTTCATTTTATGTGTATTTTACCACAAAAAATATTGGAAAAAAGTTATGATTAAAGAGGAGCCTGGAACTAAGCCTCGTCTTTAAAGATGGCACTTATCCACCCTCACAAGGCATGTCACATTTAAACTTAGAGGTAAGAAGAGAGAAGAAAGAAAAGAGAAAGCCTGAGGCTCCATGTCAGTCCCATCTCTGCCACTAAACAGCTGGCTGGTCATGAAGGCTCCCTGGCTTCCATTTGCACACCTAAGAAAAGCTCTACGGTCTCTCTCAGCCACAGAATTCTCCAAACATCCAAGCTTCTCTGTGTATCACACAACCCTTCCTCCAGCAGCCAGTTTCCCCTCTAAAATATGGGGTGTAGAGGAGTCATGGCAAGTCTGCATTCATCCTTTTCTGATAATCTTTCCTGGGACCACGGCTGCACCCCAACAGTGTGTGGTAGAAAGAGACCCCATGAGCTAGAATGTCAGCCCCTCAAGGTCAGTGTCTGGTCTTTCCCCCTCAGTGAACTCAGAACATTAAAAGCAGGGTGACTGTGCTCTGCTGAACGTCATGAACACTCATTTCCTGTTCAAAATGATCCTCTATGACGATCCATGGCTCTGATTTGGGGAAGCCACTTACCTCATTTTTGCCTCTGTTACCTCATCTCTGCCTTGTTTCCTCATCTATAAAACGGGGTTGCTGCTTGCTTTAAATATCTCCCTACTCTCTA